TTGTGATACATGCCACTAAATTTTTTGCTCCAAACAGGACTAAGTAAGCTAGCAACAAGATGTGCTCAATTTACTTTTATATTACATTTAGTGTGTAATTGTGGCCGGCAATTAAACAACAATTTAAATCCATAAACAGTTAAATAATTCTATCAAAAGTAGAATTTTGTAGCAGTAAAATTTTTCACAAAATCTACTATTTTGCAAAAAAAATTTTAATTAAAGTTCCACAGAATGACATTACACTTTTCCATCTACAATGGAGACAAGCGAGTTACTTCAATTTATTTAATCAGAAACGCTGCCAGTTTGCTTTTGTATTGGAAAAGGACTTCAATGAGGCAGTGTGGCCCCTCTGGTTTGAGAAATCAATGCATCACTCCTACAGTTCATCATGATCGTCTGTCATGTCTACGTTCTGGGGCTCCTCGCAAATGGCTGGTGAGATGAATTAGATCAAATATTCACAGCAGTTTACTTCACTGTAGTGGATCTGTTTGGTCCCTGGCAGCAGCCGGTCCCGTGTTCATATTTCATCACAGCGTAGATGTTATCCTATCCTCAGTTGGTAGAGCATTGGCCTTTGGGCTGAAGGGTTTGGGTTCAAGCCCACCACGGGACCTTCTCCAACTGCTCCCACTAATGTCTGCTGTCGTTGTGTCCTTGGGCAAGACACTTAACCCCACATTGCCTGAAGCCCGCGCTGTAACACCAAGGCTGTGGCATCACTGATGACTGATGCCATCTTCCTGGTGCTCTGAGCATTGGGTCCAAAGTCAAAGGAGATTTCCTTTTCTATGCTTCGGATCTCATCATCCACTTCCCTTAGAGCTTTTTCAGCCTCATCAAATTCATCCCTTGCTTTCTGAGCAATGTCAATGAGCTTCCGCATTTCTTCATCGTAGGGTGGCATGGTTTCTTCATCATCCTCCTTATCCTCTGGGATGTCTTCATCAGGGTATTGCTTGATTTTATTATTTTCTAATAAAGTGTCTAGAAGTATTGACTATTTTCAAAAACGTCTGCATGAGGGCAGCAGGCGTTGCAGGGGTTAGCACATCACCGCAAGAATGGTCTTACAGATGGGGGGCTACATGTGTCTGCGTAGGTGTCCTCTGGTGCCCTACCACTAAAAACATGTCCAATAGCTCTGGGTGAACAAGTGTGTTGTGAAATTGACCATAGCGAAGGCTATAATCTGCTGTGTTCAAAGCACTATTGTTCCTTAAAACACAATCCCAACCAAATAAATAAATGTAGAAAGGACTTCTTGACATGAGCATCAAAAATAGCTTATTTCCCAAAGAGTTGTATTGGCACCAAATGAAATATAATTCAACAACATGAACTCATATCAAACTCATATGACTGCGATGATTGTTGCCGCCCCCCACAGCAGGTAAACAGCCTGAGTATCCCACACTGGCTCTCTGTTCCAGCACACGTCCCTCACTCTAAGCCAGCCCACATTCCCCTCATTGTGGGTGGACCATGGAAAGCCCCTGGTACATTTCAGTGCTGAGCTCATAGATGGCCTCTTTCTCCACGCTGTTGGCCAAGGCCATCAGATCACACGTTATGTGCAGCCTCAGCAGCACAGCGCGAGGCGGGAGGGGGCCCAAATGCATGAGTGGCATTTGGTTGACCTCCCAGGATGGCACTGGACCTCTGGGGCGGCCGGGGTCTTTCAGGACAGGCTGGCTGCGCCGTCAAGCATTGATTTTAAAAAAACAAATAAACAAATTTTTTTGTTTTGTTTAAACAAGCAAATACACTTCAATGCCCCATTGGCTTTTGTTTTTGTTCATTATGCCCTGTTCATTACGGCCAATACTTTAACTTGTATGCATTCATTGCGTCAGAAATGTTTGCTTTTTTGCCAAATTTGTGAAAAATGATTGATGAATTTAAGAAGGCAATATTATTAGAGTGACATAGAAGTATTTGCCCACAGCGTTGGCTGAGTGTGTCTACAACAGAGGCCAAGTATTCGGGGTGTTTTAAAACACAAGACACCATTTGGTTTGCTATAATAATCTGATCATGGAGTTGTTGTTTCTAAGTCTTGGGAGTGTGTAGGAGTTGCATCTAAAATCATGATTAAAGGTGCTCTACAAACTTTCCTGGACGCCCGATCCATCTTTCCTGGAAGCAAGTGACCTCACTCGGATTTTAAGGGTCATATTTGCGCAGAGGCGAGGTGACCCAGTTGTAGAAGTATCCGCAATTTAATAATGTACATGTTTTATATCATACTGAGGTACATTCAAAGCAAAGCAATGAAATAATGCATAGCAACAAGTGGGGAGCATGGGAAACTTTTTAGGCTTGTTTTAGTCTAACAAGATTTTTTGATTTCTAAACTTCTAGTTGGGATGTTTAGGCTCTAATTCTCTGTTCTCAGTATTTCGAATTAGTAGCTTTTGATAGCAGTGGCAAAAAACACTTTATCACCAGTAGAATAATTGTTTGTTTTTTTTGAAGGACCAAACACATTTTTCAGGAAAGGTTCACTCTTTATTCAGTCACTAGTGATTTTGATTTGCACTGATCAACATTGTTTTAAAGCTACGACCTTTTGTAGAGGTTTAGGCTTAGGGCCTCGGATGCTGCTTTTAGCAGAATTTATTGTATATTTCCTTTTTTATGGACGATAATAAAAGTGAACCTGTCTCAGGTATGACCACACATCTGTTTTGTCCTCTTCCCTCTGAACATCGGCCAGTTCTGACTCATGTCTGAAGTACGCTTTCTCTGAAGCGGAATCTGGAAATTCCCTTTAGTAGGAAAGACGTCGACATGCTCCAACAGGTCATCATTCTTCCTTCTTATCTTCAACTGGGATAATCATTTTTAGTTCAGAGGTAATAATACAGACAATATAGTCGTCTATCATTATCAAATAACAATCCATCACCACCTGACACAACAATATCATAACCTATATGGGGAATAACAAACATCACATACATATTTTGTTTTCCACAAAAATAGAATTTCCACTTACAACTAAACACTTCCTTTCTGGGTCTAAACAAGGTCTTAGATATGATTTTAATGTATCTATAGTATTTCACAGGCCAGAATACGATGGAGAAATATGTAATCAAATGAAAACTCTGCAGTAGAGTGTGTACCACCTGATGGGTCTCACCACACTGATGTACCACTGCTGAAATACATGGACTGTAGTTTTGTGTCTGAATGGGAGGCTGTACAGACCTGTAGAATTAAAGTGAATCCTGAAAGCTTTGATTTCTCACTGAGCTTTGGGAAACTCAAATACATGGGAAGCTGGTGGTCGCAGGTTTTCTCAGAACTGGATACTGCTGGAGTGCACTGCACCTTGTCCTTGTCTATTGTGTCAGAGGAAGCTGTCTGTGGATGTGAGAGAATCCAACACTATCACTTACATTCCTCGTCAGGGCTGCCCTATCAGATGACCTTGTCCTTTATTTTGTTCCCACACTGTCCATCTCTATCATTTTAAATTAGGCAGATCGAGCCCATTGAACTAATTAGAGACACATTTCCCAACGTGATATGTGTGTGCAATACATAATAATACTAATATATGAACAACATGGATACTGTCTCAAATATCTTGAACGTTCTTCTTTAGGGCGACCTCGACTGATTGGGCTTACATGAACAAAGACAAAAGGAACTACCCAGCCATAGTGTGATGGCAGCAGCAGCAGCAGCAGAGAATGTACACAAAGTCTTGTTTTGATCTGGGTCCCCTGAATTTCAAACTGCAATGAGGAATCAAAAAGAAATAAGCCACAGTTTAAAATGTAACAAAACATTATTTAATTAACCAAAATAGTTTAAAGCATGGGGTTTTGGCGGATCAGGCAAGATAAATGCTGTTGGTATACTCATTTCATTTCATTTTCAACCCCTTTATTAGTCCATTTCTGGGTCGGGGGGGGTTGTAATGAGAGCTGCCACCCAATGCTCAGAGCACCAGTGTGATGAGTATAGCATCATATTTATTTATTTAAAGAAAAAATACCAAGACCCATAATGTATGTTTTTTGTAATAATAATGTATGTGATGGAAACGCTTAATAACCACACACAAAACAATATTTTATGTGAAAAACCAACTCAAAGTGAGAAACAATTTTGAAGTAAAAGCAAATGAATACATTACTTTATAAATAGTTTCCAAATAAAAATTCTGAAATGCTTACAAAAGTATCTAACCCTCCTCTTCTCCTCCTTTTGCCTAACTATTAAGTGAAAAGTGTAATCTAATCTCTATATCTACAGTTATAATCTAAATTTTATTCAGTCTAGAATCTATTTACAGTTGTCCTGTATAGGTTTGAGACGGTTACTAAACAGCATCATGAAGTCCAACAGAGACTAACCCACAGAGAGGTCCAGAAACTGCAAACCTACCAACACTACAATGTATTGACTCATAAAAGACTTTAGCATGCCGTATAATTCTTCTCTTTGTTAGTAATAAAAACATACTTATTATGTATATTTTTTCTTTTACTTTGTGTTATTTTCTCCTAGTCTTCCACATTAAATTGAAAGAACTATCCTGGAAAGTTTGACAGTCGAGCTAAATTTTGCTAACAACTTGTTCTGCTTCTAAACTCGTACAGACACAGACACAAGTCATTCACTTAAGAGTTATTATTGTCATGTCTGGTTTAAATTTAGACTTAGACTGTTTCCAATTCTGAAACTGGTTGTTTTATTCAAGTTTGTGTTGCATGTGTCATGTCTACAAAAACCTCAAGAGAGCCAACAGCCCGGTAGCACCTTCATTTAGAAAGTGTCCTCAAACAGTACCAACTGCTGGTGCTCTTTCACACACAACAAAAAGAAAACATACTTTTCCTGGGTTTATGAGGACTCAGGAATGTTTGTGGCCTGCTATTTTAAATCTCCATCTCTAATACTGGGTTTGAATGTGTCTGTGTGTTCAAAGGGTCAGGCCTGCATTCTTCTGGAAGTTAAAGAGGAAGTGTGTTACAATGAATGGCCAGGGGCAGAGTCCGGAGAGGAGCCACAGGAGAGGAAGTCGTGAGCTGGTGTTAAGTGACAAAGCAGACTTTTGAGAGGTGGGACTAGGTGCAGAAAGTGCGGATGTGACTGTGAAATACAAACCTATTCCAAAGTGCTGCTGACCGGCCCCTGGTGTAAGAGCCGCCCCCTGAGACACACTGTCTGCATGTTTTTACCAGCTCCTGTTATGGGACACATCGGAAACATGTGGAGAATGTCTGTGTGCTCACTTACGGAAAGTAAATCAGGGAGATGACAGTAGACATTGGACCGTCAATACCAATTCACAGGGCCATATAGATTTTGTCTAATGAGATAATCTGCCTTCGGCCACTGGTCATGTAGTTCAATAATCAAATACTGTGACCTATTTCTGCACTTTCTGCCCTGTGTTTTGAGCTTTGCATTGTTATTGAAAAACTGTAAATAACACAATAGTAACCTCTTTAATGATAATAGTGTTAGTAGTGTTTCCAATTCCAAATTTGATCATCATGCTTAATATATGCTTATAAATATATGCACTGTAGTAATGTATATGTATATGCAAAAGAGAGGGATAGAATCCATACTGAATGAGGTAGTTGCTCCATCTGCACGAGGCTTAGAGCCAGTCATTTTGAAGTCGAATGCCATTCCTGCGTGTGGCATCCCAGAGGCTCAGCTTTGCAGCCTGGAGTGTGTCACTGGATACAAAAGCTGAGTGTGTTTGAGCAAAGGCCTGGGCCTGGGATTCCAGCGGGCAGCTGCTGCACACCACACCAGGGCACATGCTCCAGGCATGCAGTGTCTTCACGTCCAGGCCTTTAGACACCATCACTGACCTGCAGTGAATGTTGACCTCTGAGGGACTGACCCCACATGGCCAAATAGTCCCCCCTCTTTTTATTTTTTTTTTTTTTTTTTTAAGTTTTTTTGGCTTTAAAAGATTCAAAACTCATTGTGTTCAATAAACATGAATAGCTAGAACCAGTCATCCACAATTAAAAACTCAATATTATGTTTTTTGAGAATAACCTCAAAATGATGTTTTATTTATTTAGTTTTTATAAAACATATTTATATTTATTTTTCTTCCATTCATCACTATTCTATGATCATTTATTTGTATTTAAAATGTTGTTTGACAGACTTGTGAGTGAATGATAATGTATCCATGTGCAGCACTTTGGAAAATGAGATATACAAATGCATTTAATTGGATTGTTGTTATAAATAACAGGAAGTAGCTGAAACTCACGAATAGTTTATTTCCTTTGCACAGACAAGTTGAATATGTCCCGTTGTCACCATGTTGGCCTTGCCCTTTTCCCCTCCACCTGTGGCTACATTTGTATTATAACATTCCCTAATATTTAGCACACGTTCTGCCTATGGTTCTGCCTATGGTTCTGCCTGTGGTTCTGCCTATGGTTCTGTCTATGGTTCTGAATATGGTTCTGCCTATGGTTCTGCCTGTGGTTCTGCCTGTGGTTCTGCCTATGGTTCTGTCTATGGTTCTGTCTATGGTTCTGTCTATGGTTACAGAGTAGTCACCATTTGGTGCGCAGTGCGCGGCCCCTCCTCCTCCTCCTCCTCCTCTTCCTCCCGTGTGGTTTTACGCTTTTGATCCCCGAGGGAGCTCGCGTTTTACATTCCTGACATTCCGACCTCAGCGCCTCCTCGCCTCGGTTACTTATTATCGCGGCTCTTTCCCTCCACAGTCATTTCACAGCGAGGCAGGACCGAAGCGCTACGGATAATATGAGACGCGTTTAAGTTGGACTTTTCTACACGTTCCTCATCAAAAAAAAGGATATTACCAAAATGAGCGCGTGAGCTGGTGAGAAACATATTTATTTTTCTATTCAGAACAAACTCTCAAACTTACTGGTGAAAAGATAAACGTATAGTGATGTTATTCAGAATAATGTTGATGCCGTCGTTCTCAAAACTTAGTCCAAGATAAAAGTTGATCAACTTTCACTCTACTGTGCCTCGTATTTCATAAAAATGTTGTATGGTGTTGTGCGCGGTGTGTGTGCTTTTGCTCCCCCATGAGTTAGGAATTTTTTGGTGCATACATTTTTGCCTGCGATGGAAAATGTGTCCACATTTTGGCACTGTCGCTATTGCAGAGGTTTACTTGACTGATTACACAGTCATTATTGAAGTTGGTTGTACTGTAGTTCGTTTATGAATGTCAAAGGCCTCATGATGAATAGACATATCACTTCCAGCCTATATTTTACTGTGGACACACTGTATTGTCTAAAAATAGATTATATGTGGGGATATGTGTGTGTTTGTATTTATCATTGTAATTCTAATTAATGTTGTCATTCTCACACAGATCTATTTGAGACCTTGGCCCCATAAGAAGAAGACAATGTCATCAACCGAGGAGCCCTCTGGCACAGTGCTGCACAGACTCATTCAGGAGCAGCTCCGATACGGAAACCCCACAGACACACGCACCTTACTGGCCATCCAGCAGCAGGCCCTGCGCGGAGGCAGCAGCAGCGCACCAAGCAGTGGAGGCGACATGGGCCGAAGCCCCCGTTCTTCTCTGGAGAGTCTCACTCAAGAGGAGCCCTTGTCCCCTCAGCTATCAGCCCGTCAGGAGCCCCAGGGCCAGGAGCATCAGGGGGACTACCAGCATTCAGAAAGCACCTTCCAGCTCTATCAGATCCACGGTGAACAGCTGCCCACATATGACCAGGCCAAGGTGCACTCTCAGTACTTGGCCTCTCACTGGGAGTCCACAGAGCCTGTACCACAGCTCCACGAGGGGGTCTTCCACGCAGAGGCAGACCTCATGGACCTCAAATGCAGCCACGCTCGGTCTCTGAGCGAACAACACATGCAAATGTCTCTGGAGAGGATTGACATGGTCAAAGCAGAAGCACTCAAAAGCACTTCTCACAGTTACCCAGAGCTGCCTTACTATAGCCCTCCATGTCACGACAAACGCTGCCCACCTCCAGAGTACACAACCCCCATTCAGGGCCAAGGATTTATTCCACAGCAATTCCAAGAAGCAGTGCAAAGGTACTACTACGACTTACTATTTTGGCACTAGTTTATTTCACATGGCATTATCAGGGAAATGCAAATGTAAAACTTGTACAGTTATCTTTGTGTGCATGAGTGTCACCTTCTACCTGTAAAGTTATTAATTATGCTATGTTCCTCCGTGTGAACCAATTGCTTTCCAAAACAAGTTCAGGGATGTTTGTACGCCTCTACCCAACATAATAATAAGCTTTTAACACTGGCATTGACTAAACTGTGTTTCTCATGGACTGTCAACAAACTCTCATTTTCTCTTACCATATATTTTATTTTCATTGTAGGTTTGAGCAGCCAGGTGAAGTGCCCTGCTACACCACATTAAACAGTTTGCCACCTGCGGGTTTGGAGGAGCCTAACCAAGTGGAACTGTTGGTGATGGAGAATGAGAGGCTGAGGCAGGAGTTGGAAGTCCATCGAGAGAAAGGAGGCCGTATTCAAAAGGTAATAACCCAATAACTGCTACATTTCCCAGCTTGATACATGTAGTAAATATGTTGATTTTTATTGCATACATATACGTTAAGACTTCAACAAAAGAACTTATTGTGTATATAAGGTAATTACTCGAGTCTGTACACAAAACACAGACCTGGTGAGTAGTTTTCAGCTAATCCTGGGCACACTTGTTGATTTGGAAGGGCAGAGGAGACCTGCAGCTGCCACATTTCATACCACTGGCAACTGCTGAGCTGTTTACACACTACCCTTATTGTGCTGCGTACCCAGAGGCAGCCAAAGTATGTGCGCCTCAGTTTCTGTGAGGCTAGACGTCAATAGTCATTTAGTGTCATTCTCTTTCCCCAAGTGCCGCTAACTGTAACGCCTAAACAGGGCTAAAACATGATGTTGTGTCTCATTTTACAACAGACTTTTGACACCTTAGAAGACCAATCATTGTAAATCTTACTGCTGGAGTTATGTCACATGGTTCTGCCTGGTCTCAGCCTCAAAGAATGGTAATTACTGGGGTTGGAAACTTTTCTCCCGTCAGCCGCAGCCCTGAGTAAACATAGCTGTATGACTGCTGTAATGGTGGGTGTCTCTTTGCCGTCTCCGCAGCCCAGGCACAGGCATGTACACCTTCCGCACGTTGGCAGCTTTCCCAGAATACTTTTAAAGTGTGTCTATGTGCTGTGCTGCGTTTGTGGACATGCGCTTTTTGCACTCACACCTGGAACATGAGCTATTGGCCTCAGGAATGTAGATATAAATCAGTCACACAGGGAGTGGTGCAGACTAAAATTCCTTCTCCAAATTATAGCGCAAGCATATTGTACTTTGCAAAGAGTTCTATACTATCTTCTATGTAAACGTGTGATATGTGTTCTGTAAAAACATGGATCTAAAACTTGGGTACCTTCTGCCATGACTAACAAAAACTCTCTTCTCCCCACCTTTCTATTTCTGTATCCCCTGTTTCTTCCCCTTCATTTCTCGTCCCAGTTGGAGCAGGAGATCCAGCGCATTTCTGAGGCTTATGAAACCCTAATGAAGGGTAGCACAAAGAGGGAAACTCTAGAGCAGACTTTAAGGAGAAGGCTGGTGTCTGAGGTCCGACGACTACAAGATTTTAACAGAGACCTTAGAGGTATGAGCTTCTTTGTTTTTTCTACTCACTGTTTCTGTCAAAAGTGGTTGTTTTAACCTAAATCTAAAATTGTCACAGAAAACTTGGAAAATGCTCGATCACACGTAGCAAAAGAAGCACAAGCCGCAGACCACAACCAGCACATCATGGCTAAACTCCTTGAACAAAGTAAGTATGTCCCAGTTGTCTTTCCTATCAACACGCATGATTGGTTTGGAGCTGAGTGAACGAAGCTCATTGATAGTTCAGGACTCAAACTTGCAGGAATTCCACTTGCATAACCTCAGCTCGTTTTGTAAGAATTGGCAAAAAAGTGAGGAATTCAATATCCCGTCTTGAAAGGAAGACATGCAACTTAAGTGACCATAAATAACAAAGCAGCTGGGAACGGGTGATGAAAAGTGGTCTAAGTTATTTTCCTCCTTGAAGGATGCAGTGTTTGTGTAGCCTTGATGAGGAATGCTCTGTGCTATGTGGCTCAAAGGGATAGGGCAGCTTTCACCCCTTCTCCTGTCTTCCCTTCAACATACCCTAAGAAGTTAATGAACTATCATGTTGAGGGCTCTGTGACTTTTCCTAGCTTCTTTGAAAGAATCATGCAAGAACAAACCTGGTCAAAACTAACGTGAATCTCTTTGTCTCTGTCAGATGAGGAGCAGAACAGTGAACACGAGCGAATTGAACGTGAGCTACAGCGTCTAAGGGTCACGGCAGAGGACCAGACGCAAAAGGCAAAGAGATTGGAAGAAGCCTTGGAGACTGCAGTGGGCCGCGGGCGGCAGCTGGAAGAGGAGCTCCGGCGGAAACGAGCATATGTAGAGAAAGTAGAAAGACTGCAGAGCGCTCTAGCACAGCTGCAGTCCACCTGTGAGAAACGCGAGAGTCTGGAGATGAAGCTGAGGACGCGACTAGAACAAGAGCTGCGCACCTTGAGGGCACAACAGGTAAAACCACGCAAAGCATTTAGTGGCTGAAAATGAATGATCAATAGATTAAAATCCTTGTGTTCTTTCTTTATAGAGGCAAAACCAGCCCCCAGGAACAACTATGAGTTCTCTTCAAGAACGACTTCAGGAAAAGGAGGAGCGGATTTTAGCCCTGGAGGCTGACATGGTGCGCTGGGAGCAGAAGTACTTAGAGGAGAGCACTATGCGGCAGTTTGCTATGGAAGTGGCTGCCACTGCTGCTGCTCAGAGGTAAGCTGTGGTACCTTTAAAGTCCACTCCTCCTCTGTCCTGGTGGCAGACCCACTTTTTGCTTTGCTTAAATGTAGCTGGAAAAAAAAAAGCAGAAAACAAAGCAATAACATACTGCATCACAAAAAGCAGCTAGAAAGCGGGTCACCATCACAACAGCTGAGGAAAGAATGATCAGTTCGTCAATGATAAATGAACCATCATATCTAATTTTTTGCAGAGACACGACCATCATTAATCACTCGCCCTGTCACTCTTCTAACAATAGTTTCAACGAGGATCTCCTGCCCTCCGACTTCAGGAATCAAGAAATGGAAAACAGGTACAGAACATGAACGAAACGGCTTCTGTGCTGTTGGAACATTCTTTCAGATGTCTCTTTGTTAACCATCTCTGTCATCTCTTTAGGATTCGGGCTCTTTATGCTCAAATTTTGGAAAAGGATGCTGTAATAAAAATCCTGAACCAGCGGCTACACCAGGACCATGGAAGAACAGAAGACAATTCTGCAAAGCTCATTGGTAATGCGGGGGCACCTCTGCGACCGGCCTCCTCCACTCCTGTGATCAGCACTGGCAGCAGCAGCAGCACTAAGAGCAGAGGTGAGCTATATTGTGTTGCCTTGTTTGAATCATTTATGGTTGATGATACCAAACCCATGGCCCACTGTGTGTTTTTCATTACCTAGGCACTTTTGCACCAGGCTACAATGAAACCATGTCATCTTTTGTGTAATTTATTAACAATTTTGTCAATTTCTCGGCTCATTTTCAGCAAAGAGTCTTTCAGATGATCAGACTTTGCCGAATCGACAGTTTTCCGCACAATCTGAACCGGGAACTCTGGAGCGACATGTGATGGGAACTAAAGCCAAACTGGCTTCAAGTCTGACTAAGCTAAACACTGGTAAGGATATTACGATATTCATACATATACACGCTTGCAATGTAAAAATGCACTTATCACTGAAAACCGCATCTTTTGTTAATGGTGTTTGTATTTTCTTTGTTTTTTAGAGAAGGCTGTGCCTAAAAAGTTGCTACTAAACCCATTCAAAGGCTTGGATGAATTGGAGACTGAGGCCGTGGAAATCTTTATTTAAATAATGTGGAAGTGGACATTCAGCAAGTATCTGTGAATGGCGGAAGAGAGTGTGAAAAAGACCATATGGTTTTAGTGGCAGAGCTGTGCTCAAACTCACATGTGACCTCCCACCTCGCTGAACTGCTGCCGGCGGTCTGTTCAGACAGAAAAGATCTGACGTACTTGGACAGTATTGTGGATTGTAACAGGGCAATGTGTTCTCAGAGTGAATGCTAAAATATTTATATTCTCAACAGTATATATGTGAATTAATGCTGCTTTCCCCCATCCTTAAATATTACTTCCCAATTGAAAAAGCTAAATATTTATTTTGGTTTGAATTTTATTTTTATGTATGTATTTTATGTAGGGCGCAGACTTGCATTCCCCTTCTTGTCAAGTTATAATTCTCAGTCCCAACTCAGATCTGGAATCTATTTTCAGTTTTCAGTGCTAAAGTGTTTACACTTATCTGTCATATTCGTTAGCCTTTGTAGCTGGATCTCCATAGGTTAATGGCTCTGTGACCAGAAGGTGCCTAATATATAAAACTAAAGAACTTCTTGACAAAACGTTTGCATAAATAAAATCAGTTTGAGAATAACGTGAGAGTAAGGTGCTCTGCGGGTCGGAACGCCACTGGAGGAAACTACTCTGTTTACTGTGAGCTTCTAAACTAACAGGTTAATTTTATTAATATATTCTTATACATGTGTTGTTGTTTTTCTTTTTTTTTTTTTACAGATCTTTGTATTTTAGATATTTGCATTGAGCAGAATGCCAAAGAATTATGTTCTGACAATCACGGTTTTGTCTCCTGTACAAAAGTGTTAACTCCATACATGACATCTCTGTGAACTTCAAACACTATGAAGGTCATTAAAGCTGAATGCAACATTTCATAAAACCTTAAAATGCTGAAATATAAATGTGTTTTAGTGTTTGGTAATTGTAAACTTTCATTGTGCCATACTTTGCTGCCCTGCATGTGTCTTAAGTACACTTCATCAATGAATAGCAGAGCTGCATTCTTTTGTGTTCAACTTTCTCAAGAGGCAGCTCTTGTTCTCCTTCTGCCATCAGGAGCATGCTTCACATAGATCACATTCTCTAAGGGACATGTAATCTTACATGTGACAAAGACAAGTTTCTTCTAGATTACTCACTAAAAGCTTTTCAAATTCCTGAATGCTGTCACCCAGTTCACACTTACCTTTCTTAAAGCCTATGTAACTATTAGCAAAATGAAAGATACTGTCCTTGAGGAGGATCGTATCCTGTTTAAGTTTGGTGTGCTCTTCACAAAGTATATCAACATAACACAAACATACATACACTGTCTGGAGGCACCAAAACTACGCTCAACCTGTAGAAGTCTTTACTTTAGCTTCAACCTAAACGTGAAGGCATGCTAACACAATAGTAAATCTGACACGTGTATAGTATATCATCACACTAGGATTCAAACCAGTCAAAACTACTTTAATATTGCTCTTACTAAAATATAAATATAAGGTAGTCTTAATGGAAAATAAATGTGCACCTTCGAGGCATTACTGTCAATCTCCCTCCAAATGTTTTGTAAGGGCTGCTTGCTGAAACACAGAGCAAGGGCCAAAAACAAAGGGCATGGCATGTATAGATGGGGAAACTGCTGTTAAATATTTATCCATATTGAAGTTACAAAACCGAATGTTTTATTATATTTAATCATGGTGCTTCTCCTTCAATGGATCGCCAGGAATTTATTGGCCAATCGCCAGGATTTTTAGCCTTTTGTTGTAGAACAGAATGTTAAACCGGCCCTCATTTTTATTATTATGTATTATTCAGGACAACACTCTGGCTTTGTGTTTTGTGGTGGAGGATGGGGTTGTGTGACATTTGTCAAACAAGGCATCCCATACAGACTATTGGGTAAAGGTAAAGATCTGGAATATATAAACATTTAAGTTTGGGACAAGAAGGAACTGATTGTCATTGTTAATTTCTACAAACTAGATTGGAGTTACTGTGTCTTCGTTCAATTGAAGGCTATGATAGCCGTAAAATTATTTGGTGTGGGGATTTTAATACCCGTAGCACAGTGTGGGGGTGGGGTTCACATATGAATGGTACTGTGATTGAAGAATATATGGATGAATGCCGTCCATGCGCAGTGATGCAGTCGCTGTATTTGACCGTTGTGGTAAAGGGGAAGCTGAGCCGAAAGGCAAAGCTCTCGATTTACCGGTCAGTCTTAGTGCACTATTCTCTCCTCCTTCCTACTTTATCTTTCTGCAGTATTAGGCTTTTGACAGCTGTCTGTTCATTACCATTCACCCGTTGTCCCATTGTCTGTTTCATGGTGCAACAAGCCTCTGAACCTCTGAACCCTTCCATCTACACCTGCGGACTGCCCTGCCTGATCCGCCTGGGAGCTGCTCCAGTCCTGCACCAGACCTGTCCACATCCTCCGGCCGCTGCGTGGCCCTAGTCCACGTTCTGTAGCTTTGGTCCTGGATCTATAGCCCGTCCGTCCATGTAGAGCAGATCCCTCTCTCACTGTTTATCTCCCTGAGGTTTCTCACTTTTCTCCCACTGGGTTTTAGAGTTTTTCCTTGCCGATGCAGGAGGGTCTGTTTGACAGTTAGTGTCTAACAAGAAGGACTGTGGTGATGATCCAGGACACTTTAACATTCTGCTACATGTCCGGACATTTATCAACATTCATGGAAATTGGTGTCTCCACATGGACATAGGGGCGACAGTAGCTCAGTTGGTAGTGAATTGGCCTTTGAGCCAGAAGGTCGTGGGTTCGAGCCTAGCTCAAGACTTTCACCATCGACTCCCACTGTCTGCTGTCTTTGTGTCCTTGGCAAGACACTTAACCTCTGGGAACACCTGATACCACAATGGGGCGGCTGTAAAGTGCCAAACTGCTGTTGTGTCCTTAGGCAAGACACTTCACCCCCATTGCCTAGAAGAGTCTGGTGTGAATGGTTGGTGGTGTTGAATCAACATACTGGTTGCCTTGCTTCTGTCAGTGTGCCCCAAGGCAGCTGTGGCTACAGTAGTAGTTCATCACCACCATGTATGAAGTGAATAAACAATTACATGTAAAGCGTCTTTGAGTGTCCAAAAAAAAGCTACATAAAACCGATGCATTTTATTTATTTATTTTCTTTACACATCCATAATTAAAGTTGTTAGGCATAATTCATGGTGTATTTCAGCACCAAACATTTCCACCGAACATTTCTAACCATCTGCCTCACTGAGACGTGGACTCCAATTTTGCTCCAGTTTCCCCCACCATCTGGTGAAACTCTGTTTGTATCTCATTAATCGAGAGGGATGGAATTTTAATTTTCTTAAACTTAATAGAGGGACAGGTATTGCTCTGCTCACTTTCTTAAACTCCTTGGTTGAGCTCTGAATGTTGAATTTTGTCTTAAAATCCATGGAATTCAATAAGTTTCCTTGGTTATCTAAAATGTCAAATGTAAAAAAATATAAAATTAAATTTATATTTTTTGTGCCAGCTTTGAATGAATAACAAGTTCCTGTTTGATGTTATTGTTCAATTATTCCACAAGGTAGAGCCACGAGGGGTAAAGTTGTGGTAAGGGTCATCTTCCAAAAGTGCAAAATGGTTTATGCTAATCCCACAATTTCAAAGGCAATTTGGATACTTCAAAATCACACTTTAAAAGGTACTCATACTCCCCTACTTTATCAAAATTGTGTTTGGGAATCCTGTACCAAAGTAAATCAGGAATTGCCAGAAAAAAATGTATACAAATAATTCTTAAGACGCCAATCACTTACTCAAAGTGAATAGTTTGAAATTGGACAACCTTGCCCAATACCGCAAGAGACGTTAATTCTATAGGAGTGATTCAGCCATGTAGAGAAATAGAACTATAGATTTAATTATAAAACGTTTTGATGATTTTGCAAAATGTAGCACCAATACCAAAGAATTGCAGCATATGGTGTAAAAAATGGAATCAAAGGCCTTGAAAAAAATCCATGAACAAAAGCAAGTTTTCTGAATTCAAGTGGTGTGGTAATCCATCATATCTAAGACAAACCTGACATTGTATTGTATAAATCTGCTTTTGATGAAAGCGTACTGATATTTGTCTATTAAAAGGTGCAAAATATTCTTGATTCATTGATTTTTTTTTTTTTTTTTGATTCATATAACTTAGTGTAAAGATGTGCTACCGCTTCCATTATTTTGGTAGGGTCCTCAATAACAATATCGTCTTAACTTAATTTGGTGATATTTTTCGCTGGAGTAGATTGGGGGCTGGAGGATATTATGGGCTCTATGCACGCACCACTTCCACGTTTTACACCTCACTTCCTGTTCGAGGGAAACGCTTGAGTTTTACTGGAGTTCAGCAGTGGTTTACACGAGTTTCCCAAATAATGCTCAAACGGGAATTAAACTGTGAGGATACTGGGCATTTTTGGGACACAGCAGTGCTCTTTGTTTGTGCTGTCATTGTGTTTTTTATTAAGTTAACTAATCCCTCTGAGTGGCCACAGTCAAAGCTCTACCTCAGAGAGAAAGCACAGCGACCCTTTAGGGTCAGTCTCACAGCTGAATGTATCAATCTAGTAACTAAAAAACGTCACTAAAACCCACTAAAAGCCATAGGATAGCATAGGCAGGAAGTGAACGGGCTGATCTTTGTTAACAGGAAATGACGTCACGCCTCCCCGTGCAGGCGGAGGCTGGAGATGACGCGGTGACAGTGAGATATCGCGAGAAACGATGAGCTTGTATTTTCAATGTAGTGCCGTCTTGCGCTCCCTTGCAAAGAAAGATTATACGTGTATGAATCTGTTATAACTCTTTTTTATCGCATCAGATTCACTCTCGTCAGTCAGCACTTAACTATATCTTTATATGACGCGAGAATGTGAGCCATGCTAGCTGTTAGCATACGCTGTCTGCACTGGACTCTTTGCAGAACATAGAACTATGTAGCAGCACAGACTTCGCCATTTTGGGCTAAGATTTGTAAGTTGTAAATTCTCCTTTTTCGTGTATTTAGACTATGGTTTAATGTGGCACCAAACCAGAGAAAATGGTTTTCTTGACTGTAAGCTGTTGACACGCTAGTCAACATGTTAGTTCTTATGAAAAGGTCCCTTTAGTGTGTTCATACATGGTACTGGGCGTTAAGAGCTATTAACTACTTTGAAGTTACATTTGAAAGGATTATACCTATGGGTTGAAGTCACATGGAAGAAGAAACACGTTTTAGCTTGTGCAAAATACATACATTCATAGCTAGGAGGATAGATATTTGTTATACTCAATAAAATGTAATGTCAAATGTGTCTAATATCACAAAGCATAAGGTGAAAGAGCTAGAATTTTGGAAAATATATTTTAGGTTGATTCCTACTTATGATATGTTGTACCATATATATTGATAACAAGAACTATAATACAATAACGCAGTTTCATCGCCCTAGTAAAGTTTGTGTTAAGGCTGTCACTAGGGTTGGGCGATATATCACCAAAGTGAATTTGAAGATAGGCTTTTTCGCATTATCGTCAATAATAATAAAAAAAAGTCTTTTAACTCCAATACATATTACAATTATGAGTGTGTACATTACACAAATGCGTGCCTAAAAAGCCAATCACTGCTTTATTTCTACATATCAGTAAATATTGAACAAGCCTTTTTGGATGTTCTTTCTGTGTTACTTGAATTTGATTTTTAATGTTAATATGTTTATTCATGTTTTGCAAAGATGTGTGAAGCACTTTACAAATAACAAGCTGCTATTTTGATCTATACTGTCTATAGATGCCCTGGCAAGCAAAAAATTGCTTATCATTTTGCGTAAAAATGATTGATTTTAAAGATATTGGGACAATATCATAATCAGGAGTTGAGAAATAAATATTGAGATATTTATTTTTGCCCATATAAAAAAAGAAAAAGAAAAGTTTTAATATAATTTTTCTGGTGTTCAGGGAATCGTCACAACGCAAGCATGGCAATGCGTGAAATTGAACCTTACATCTTTGATCCAGAGTCTGACTCTGAACTCGAAGTGCACAAAGGACAACGGAGAAAAGCTCACACTAGAAGCATAGAAGTAACCTTTGAGGTAATGTTTTATTTATTGAAATGTTTTGGCACCACTTTATATGTTTTTCTGTTTTTCTAGTTGGATCAAACCAAGGAGGAAAGTCCAGTTAAATATTATGAAGATGATGAGATTTCAGAGGAAGAAGAGGATGATGATGATGATGACGCAAGTTCAGATGAGGACTGGGTTCCTCAAAGAAAAATTGAGGTGGAAACTGCAGAAGTGAAAGGAAACTCTTCCTCAGACGAGTTCAGTGATGATGAAGAAGAAGAGCTCAATGATGATCAGAAGGGTTCTTATGAGAGGAAGAAAAGGCAACTCTGCACAGATTGTGGATCCTTTTATTGGACTCAAAACCACATCTGTGAGCACAAGACTAAACACTACGTTTGCAATGTGTGTGGAAAAAGATGTGTGACTCCACTATCTCTAAAAATACACAGTAATATACACAGTGAAACATACGAACATTATTGTAAATATTGCTGTGAATCTTTTAAAACTAAACTAGACAAACTTGCACATGAGAAGAATCACCAGAATCAACCAAAACCGTACCAATGTCCTGATTGCTCAATGAAATTTGCCTCAAAAAGGGAACAAAGAACCCACCTAAAAAGCCACCGAGGAAAGAAGCAGTTTATATGTGACATATGTGGAATTGTGATGATGACAAGAAACAGTTTGGAGAGACATGTATTGATCCACACAGGAATGAAACCGTACAAATGTTCAACCTGTAAGCGAACCTTTACACAACCAAGTCATCTGAAGTCCCATATGCGCGTCCACACTGGAGAACAGCCGTATAAATGTCAGCACTGTGGCAAGTCTTACAACCACAATGTCAGTTTGAAGAGCCACATCCAGCGCTATCATCCAACAGAGTCTGGGGATAAAGATGAGAAAACCTCAGATGATGCGTCTATTACAGTTGAGAATGTTAAAAAATCTGAGCCTAAAATGATTCAGCAGAAGAAAGTGAAGAAAACCCTTGGACGGTATGCTACTGGCCGACCTCCAGGAAGGCCCAGAAAAATCAACTTTCAAGACAGCGGAGAACCGAAGGATTTCTTTAGTCAACTCAAAGACTAATTTTTCTTTATGTAAATGCCTAGCTGCAGTACAAATAGTTAAATATATCAAAACACACATAAAAAAATATGTCTACAGCTATATCCTTGTTTTGTTATCATTCATTATTGTTCAAATACTCTTTCCACTCCCATGTAATGCACAATGCAATTTCTCCTCTAAAAGTTCTCTCGTCTTAAATAGATTGATGATTGAGATTCCTGTAGTTTCATACATGACAGTGAATGTTAAAAAATAAAAACCTTGTTTTGCATGACTAGTGCATGGCCTGCCGTTTCTTTGAAACATTTTGTTGATATTGCAATGGAGTCATCTCCATCATGGACAACACTTCCACCCACTGCACAGGACTGTAGAGGAGCTGAGGAGCTCCTTCAGTGGAAGACTGAGGCAAAGCATATTTAACACACACAAAAAGCCTGGTGACTGCCCAGTGTATGTCGGATGACGTGTGCGGACCATCCATGGTGGGGACTGGATTATTATTATTATTATAGATCCATGGGACTGGAGGAGAGAATCCGGTGAGAGATATCGCGAGAAACGACATGATGTTTTCAACGCGGAAGTGCGTCTGTAACTCCCTGGTCAGCTGTGGCATGGGGTCGTGGGTGGATTTGGGGTGTTGTTGAAGTCAGCGTGGCTAAATTCTAAAATAGAGAGATTGTGATCGATAAAGGATCTAGCCTGACGTTAAGTAAGTCTTCACGCTAAAGACATCCATATTACTTCGTTATAGTATGGGCTAGCTGAGCTAACTTACTTGTAGTTCGTAATTTTGGGAAAATGTTCGTGTTGTAGTTCGTTCATGTGAATAATTGGGCATTTTCTTGTGGTTTGCTAGCTTAGCGAGTTATCTATCTAACTAGTTACACAGATGGATTTATAATAATAACTGTTACATAAAGCTACCCACCCCCTGTTACAGTCTGCTTAAGACTCTTGTGCTACCCTTGGGTCACAATGGTCCTCCATGTGATTCAAAGTAGATCCTTTTAGACTCAATTAGCGTTTAGAAGGTTCCAAACTGACCCAGGGCAGGTCAACTTAGAAAATAAATCTTCCTCTCGAAAGATTTTTAATTAGGGTATTTTTGAATCACTGACGGGTCAATTTGACAAAGGTTAAAAACACGCTACACCTCAGGGCTGTAAATGTAAGGTGTAAATGCATTACCTCCTTATTAAAATACACAGCTCACTAAAATAAAGGGAACTTCTGAAACTATTTGGATCATTCAGTCTACATTCTTTATTGTGGGAATGTAAATAAAAGCATGTATGGAGAACATAATAAAAGTGCTGACTTGAAAATCGTGATGCCACCAGCATTCATATCGTGCTGTAAATGTATATTTCTTCTTTCTCTACTTATCTCTTATCTTATCCTCATAATCAAAGTGGGTCTGTTCTCAGGCTGATCTAACTTCTATGATAATCCTTCAGTTGGTATGAGGCTCATCTAGTCAAAAAATATTTGGCTCCATTGATTCCAATTATTGAGTATTAAGAGGTGTTGCTTGAGTTTCCTTTATTTCTTTGAGCAGTGTATACAGACTTTGTATTATTAGATATTTATTTGTGTAGATATGAGTACGGTGTCCGGGGTCCTCTGCTGAGGGCCGTCCGGTCCCTGTATGACCGGAGCCAGAGCTGCGTTCGCATTACCGGCAGTAAGTCAGACCTGTTCCCGGTGCATGTTGGCCTCCCCCAAGGCTGCCCTTTGTCACCGGTTCTGTTCACTGTGTTTATGGACAGAATTTCTAGGCGCAGCCAGGGGCCGGAGAGGGTCCGGTTCGGGGACCACAGGAATTCATCTCTGCTGTTTGCGGACGATGTTGTCCTGTTGGCTCCAACGAACCAGGACCTGCAGCATGCACTGGGGCGGTTTGCAGCCGAGTGTGAAGCGGCTGGAATGAGAATCAACACCTCCAAATCCGAGGCCATGGTGCTCGACCGGAAAAAGATGCCTTGCCCTCTACAGGTGGGTGGAGAGGCCCTTCCTCAAGTGGAGGAGTTCAAGTATCTCGGGGTCTTGTTCACGAGTGAGGGAAGGATGGACCATGAGATTGACAGGCGGATCGGTGCAGCGTGCGCAGTGATGCAGTCGCTGTATTGGGCCGTTGTGGTAAAGAGGGAGCTGAGCCGAAAGGCAAAGCTCTCAATTTACCGGTCAATCTTCGTTCCCTCCCTCACCTATGGTCATGAGCTTTGGGTAATGACCGAAAGAACGAGATCGCTGATACAAGCGGTCGAAATGAGCTTCCTCCGCAGAGTGGCTGGGCGCTCCCTTAGAGATAGGGTGAGGAGCTCAGTCACACGGGAGGAGCTCGGAGTAGAGCCGCTGCTCCTTCACGTCAAGAGGAACCAGTTGAGGTGGCTCGAGCATCTGTTCCGGATACCCCCCGGACGCCTCCCTGGGGAGGTGTTCCTGGCACGTCCGACTGGGAGGAGGCCCCGGGGAAGACCCAGGACACGCTGGACTATGTCTTTCAGCTGGCCTGGGATCGCCTTGGGTCCCCCCGGATGAGCTGGAGGAAGTGTGTGTGGATAGGGAAGTCTGGGCGTCTCTGCTTAGACTGCTGCCCCCGCGACCCGGCAACGGATGAAGCAGAAGAAAATGGATGGATGTTTGTGTATATCTAATTATACTGTGTTTTTTCTTCTAGGAACAGGGAGGAATAGTCGCAACGTGAGAATGGAACTGTGTGATATTGAGTCTTTCATCTTTGATCCAGATGTTAAGTCAGAACTCGAAGTGCACAATGGGCAACAGTGGAAAGATTGTGTTTCAGACACTGATAGAAGCATTTACTGGGTGAGTGGTTTATTGTGGACCTGAATGACTTATTGAAAAGGACACTAGAAAAGATGTATGCGGTTTTAATTGACACATTTTACTTCTGCGTCATGTGTGATGAATGCGTAGGAGTCTTTAACACATGGACAACATTTTCTTTGTTCTTCTACATTTCAGGTTCAAAATGGCAATGAGTTAAGGCCTCAGTACAGAACCACATCTCCCCATCACACTGGACGTATAGAAGTAACCTTTGAGGTAATATTCTTTTGTTTATTGTCCAAGTGTTTGAAAACAACACTCCTTTTTTTAAGCCATTTTCACATCATCTTTGTGTGTTTGAGCTGATTTGATGATCATTCTTGACATCTGCTGCTTAGTCTGCAAAGCTGTTTTATTATTGCATTAAGGGTTACCATTAACTATAATTTGCCTGTTTTGTTATAGGTGGACCAAACCAAGGAAGACTACGATGAAGAGGATGAGACTTCAGAAGAAGAGGGAGGTAAAAAGGATGACGCGAGCTCTGACGAGGACTGGCTTCCTTTGAATTTGGAAGAAACTGCAGAAGTGAGAGAAAACATTCCCTCAGACGAGTTCAGTGATGAAGAGCTCAGTGATGAAGAGCTCAATGAAAAAATGCAAAAGAAAAAGCAACTCTGCACAGATTGTGGAACCTTTTATCGGACTGAAAACCACATCTGTGAGCACAAGACTAAACACTACGTTTGCAATGTGTGTGGAAAAAGATGTGTGACTCCACTATCTCTAAAAATACACAGCCACATACACAGTGAAGCATACGAACATTATTGTAAATATTGCTACACATCTTTTAAAACTAAACTGAACAAACTTGCACATGAGAAGAACCACCACAATGAAAAAAACCCATACAAATGTCGTTACTGCACCGCCACATTTTGCACACATGCAGAACGCAGAAAACATGTGAAACAACACACAGGACCAAACGCATTTAAATGTGAAATTTGCGGATTTGCAACTGGAAAAAAACACAAACTACGGCATATGATGATTCACACTGGTGTAAAGCCCTTCATATGCGTGATATGTGGGCGGACTTTCAACCAATCAGGCAATCTCAAGTCCCATATGCGTGTGCACACTGGGGAACAGCCCTATAAATGTCAGCACTGCGGCAGGTCTTTTAACCACAATGTCAGCCTCAAGAGCCACGTCCAGCGCTGTCATCCACCAGAGTCTGGGGATAATAATCTGATGAAGAGTTCAGATGATGTGTCTGATGCAGATGAGAATGTTCAACAACAGGACACGGAGACAGTTCAGCAGGAGACGGTGAAAAAAACTGGACGAGGTGTCACTGGTCGTCGTCCTGGAAGACCAAAAAAATCCTTAGACGAAAGTGAAAAGCAAAACTCTGACAAAGGAAAGAAAAAGAAAAAGGTCCAATCAAAACGTAATTTGAAATCAGGCAGTGACTGACTATGACCCAGATAAAGACGCAATTGGTTATGGAAAACCAAAGGGGAGAAAGAAGACAAAAACATAGCTGTTCCATGTAAATTTCTCTTTTGTGAGATCCATAAAGTATATCTTATCTTATTGCGTTCATGTAGACCCAGTCCTGTCAACTGGGGACATGACAACTGCCATTTGGAGGGTCGCATTACTCAATGAACTCGTGCCGCTCATTCCAACTCTCAGATATTTGATCGACAAACCTCTTCTCTAATCATACAGTGCTTCATTAGTGACAGCAATGCAAGAAGAACTCTTTTGTTCGTTGGTTTTTATAAAGTGTTTCTCAACCATTAATGAATAAATGTTAGAACTGTTTTTCTTTTCAAATAAAGTGGGAAGAATATAAAGCCCCTCCCCTTACACAAACATTTGAGGATTTTTATAATGTTTTCATTTTCTTCTATTTATATCCTCCCCTCAACATTTATCCAAAATTATAGTCAATTGTTTTGTCATGTTTAATTTGTTTTCTCACATACAATGTCTCAATATTAGCTTTATCTAATAATATACCAAAAATAAAAGCTTATGTTATGTAGACAGTGGAATTATGTTCAGTAAGAAACCATTGAGAGTTCCAAACTTACTAATTTGGAACTCTGAATGGGGAGACTCGTGTTTCTTTTGTCGTGGAACAAATCAGTCTCCAGAGGTCGCCATACTCAACAAATCTGAAGTTGTGAATCCCATTTTTCTGATGCTAACAGATTGATAATGTTTGCACTGAAATTAAACGTTAATGCAACTTAGACCTCAAACATCCCATCCTCTGCAAAGACTATCTCAAATATGATCTTTCAAAATTCGAAAAAAGTGCAAACGCTGGCTATACAGACGTCTTTTGGGAGGTGAATACAACGATGCTCCTGTCCTGATGACACCTGTGACCTACTGCCTCCTTGATATCACAAACAGCAGAATTAACTTGGTCCAAATCATCCAGAAAATTGAAATCTAGAATGAATAAATGGCTTCAGAATGTTTCTGCAATATGTCCCATTAAGAGACCTAAACTTGCACAGACTGTGGCAGAAATTCACATACATTTAAATGCGAAACAAAAATGCAATACGTGCGGAAATAATTAATAACCCAAAATTATTTGATGATATGAGTGAAGTTTTGTTCGGCCCATGTAATTCATCCTCTGCAGTTCTGGTAAACAGTGCACTGATGGTGCCATTTTGACTGTTTCAGCTGGTTCCCCAAATGTCACTGATTCACGAGGTTTCAAGCTCCATCACTGTCAGACACTGTTGTCTCCAATCCTCTCATAAAGAAATGTAGTTAGAACAATAAAATCCCTGACGCAAACAAGGACAAAACGTAATACTTGTTTGTGTACTATGTATCTGTTCTGACATGCATGTCATGGTTATCTTGTTTTTCTTGTATGTAATATTTTACAAAATTTCTTTTATTTTTATTTTACATACTTTACATACATACTATTTTACATAATTTATTCCTATCATTGTGCTTACAATTTTTCACATCACCACTTGATGTCCCTGTTGCGCTTTTGAAGGCATTATGTCTTCCATGTCATCTTGTATTTCATTTAAAGAATATGAAGTAGGAGGCTCGATGTAGTTAGTTTGGGCAGTAGAATCAGGAGCTAGACTTAAGCAGACACCTTTGTTGCAAACCACTGAAAAGAACATAAATGATTCCTTGAGCTCCTCAGCTGAGCAGTGGATAGATGACGTCTTGGTTGCAGCCTCTGATCTGACATCTACTCCCGGTTCCCCTCCAATTACAATCACAAGGAAAAATACTGTAATCAGCCTCTTAAATGTTAATCACTCAGCCGTTTATGTGCGCACGTGAGCAGTGTTACAATGTGGAGAGGTAGTCAGGCGCTCTTTAGATGGAGAAACTTTGTGCAGCTTCAGGAAATGTTTCAGTTCCCTCAGCAGCTGTTTGTCCTATTGAACTATTTAGTGCACTACGAAAAGTTGACATTTTTACCTATACGTGGTGATGACTCCATATCAAATATATATAAATATATATAGTCTATATAGTGTCCGTGGAAAATCAATTATAAAACAATTTCCTTTTTTTCTACCACTTCTCCTGGTTCATTTTTACTGTGCAAATCCTTTAGAAATTGCAACATTGTTTTCTGTAACGTTAATCCTTTGAGTGGGGAAGTCCACATAAACAAACTCGCTATTTACATATAAATCATTTGACAGCATTAAGGAATTTGAAGTATGTCCGTGAAATATATGGATAAAAACAGTTATTGCAAATTGGTTGCGAAACAGATGTCTGGTTGAAGTCTAATGCGTCTGTTATTGCATGGTTTAAAATAGCATTTGTTTTCTATATTATGATGTCTCTATGACCTCGCCGCCCTGCAGAGATGGAGTGGGACATTATCATCCCAAGAACAGGAGCTCTGTCATCCTAACACGGTCGTACAACCAAGGACAAGCCGGACATTTTCTTTAAGGGGCTTCATTCACTCTTCATATATAACAAGCATAACGGCCATCATAGTGTTTGACAAGTGCTTTGTAATAATCATCAGGCGTCCTCTAACACCTGCTTGGAGCGACACAGCAGCTTTGTGTTCTAACCTGAAAATATCTCTACATCATTTTGACAAGTTTAGTGTTTGATAATCACTCCTGCATTACATACAGTACATCTATTCTGCTGCATGACCTCTGCATCTTCAATGTTTCCCCTTTGTTATAAGGCTGTAAGGTCTTATATTGATTCCCATAGAGGGGAATTTGTCCTCTGCATTTGACCCATCCTGCAATGCTAATACAGCAGGGGTGTCAAACTAATTTTTGGTCGGAGGCCAAGTTTAAAAACTGAGGTGGTTGGGTGCAAAAGTATAAATATCTAGTAAGGTTTGGGTTCAATCACAACTGGAATTTTTTTTTTTTTTAATATGTAATTGCAGATTTAGAAGGTAAATATATATTGGAATTAATCTTCGGTCAAACTTAACTACTTATGCGTTAATATTTCAGAACATTCAATTATATGGTTGTTTTCCTGAGACAATAGGCTTTAAAATGAAGTATAACATGCCATAGTATCCGATTACCATCAATACTGCAAGTTACTGTAGTAATGATCATTTCAGGGACCACTAATAATTGTCTCACAGGCCGGATTTGATCCACGGGCCTGAGTTTGACATGCCTGGACTCGAGCAACCTGTCGGGAGCGGCGGTCATCACAGTGTAGCAGCAGTATTGAGAACTTGAGCTGCTGGATTTTACCTACTGTAGTGGTAGGCTCTGTTCTAGCAGGGATTCGAACCCAGGACCTATTTGCTAAGACAATATAAAGACAGTATTTCATAGATTATATTTCCATGCATGCCTTATTCTTTTATAACTTGTTTGCACCGAGAGTCAAAGCAATTTCCTATAGTTTGTGACTTCCTGTCACAACCTGGAAGGTAGAATACAATTATTCTGATTCTGATTCTAGATAATGCTGTCCCTTCAGTGAGTTGCAAATGTGCAGTGATGCCCTATGTTGCTCTAAAAGCTCTAGACTGAGAAGCTTGTCCCACCTGAGTTTATAAGAGGTCTTCATGCCTCAGATCTCTTCAGCACAACCACAGCAGACTGGTCATGACTAAGGGCCATGGATTTGCGAGGATGTGAGTTGTGAGGCAGAGAGATGAGAGGCATAGAAGTCATGTTTGAAATGATAATTTTTACACACACCCCTTTCCCACCGGAGCAAAGCCGGGCTTAGTTTATTTAGACGTCAGTTGGCTGTTGGTTTGTTTGCTTTGATCGTTTTCCAACTTAAATCTATGACGTTTAAAGCTCTGTGTGAACCTGTACCCAAGACAAACCATCTGACTTGTTTTGATATAGTTTGATATTTAGAGTCAATGTTCAAAAATAAAAACCTCAATATAATCAACAGTCAGTGTGATGACACACCGATGACGTGCGTATGTTACTGTTCGTGTGTGTGTGTATATGTATGTGTAGCACACTTCTACCAGCAGGA